AGAAATAATAACTGCAATTTAGTTCACATCTCTCCTTATGGCTCTAAAGCAAAATGGCCTATAAAAATGATTTTCAGAAACTTATAAAACATCACTGCTTATATGTTCTTGCTATTTCACAAAGCAGTACTGTAGCTGTTATTTATAATGTGTGAGAACATGGGAAAACCCTGGACTACCATATGATTTTGTATGTACATGTATAATGTTTACACCCCTGTGTGTACATTCATACATGTATTCAAGATCAAATCATATATGTTTATCAACATCTCTATTTTCTATGAAGTCTTTTATAAATATGCCATATTTTAAAAAGTAATCTTACAAATTCTAAGACCTTCTTCCAACTCAGAAATTTACTTTCACTATCAGAAAAGTTTTCATTGTGTCTAAACTAAGTCTCACACTTTTTAAAAAAACTTATACTTACCTCATTGGTGTCTTTTTTCTACTCAGTCTGTATCTATCCAAGTTAAGAGACATGCTCCAACTGTCACAAGCCAGAAATGCCTCCGTTTTCTGATCTTCCTTTTGTGCTCTGAATCCCGTAACATCCCTGTCAAAGACTACACTGGCTTCATTCCTGCCACTTCTAGAGTTTCAGGATGTCGAGGGTTGTGGGACCTTCTGCATGTGTGAGACAGAGCCTGACATCGCGAGCCTTTTGAACTCAACTTCTGTGCTTGTTGTGATCCATAGGTCATTTTCCTGTCTGAAAAGGGAAATGAGTATGAAACACCCGGGCCTCTTTACTTTGCTGATGAGGATGTAGAATAGAATGACCACTTTGGAAAACTGACTGACTCCTTTAATAAAGTCAAACATGTACCTACCTTCTGCCCAAGAGGCATAAGTACATATGTCTTTAAAAAAGACTTGTATAAGAATATACATTGCAGCTTTATTCATAAAAGCTCTAAACTGGAAACAATCTAGTCCATCGAGAGAATGGATAAACAAATTTTACTGTATTCATGTAATGAAATACTGTGCAGCAATAAAAAAGACTGAGCTATTGATACACAACATAGAATAACATGGAAGCTCAAAAATTATGTTGAACCTAAGAAGCCAGGCACGGAAGAGTGTCATACTTTATGATTCCATACGAAGTTCAATGTAGAGAAACAAATGGCCATCGAAGTCAGGTCGCTCCCACGAGTGTGAGGAGGTGGTGTGGACTAGAAAGGCACAAGGAACATTCCAGGTGATGGGACTGTTCTATAATTACATGGGATGTGCGAATGTGAGATTTTATTAAGCTCACTTAAGATTGGTGCATTGTATTATATATAAATTATGCTTCCAGTTTTTTTTAAAAACCTATTGGTTTCTCAATTAGTGTTTTTGAAAAATTCACATCAAAACCGTATGCCAGAAATAGCAGTTTGGGATTTGTTGTTACTTTAAGCCTTACTTAGAAGAAGTTACACTTGTAAATATCCCAGAGAAAGCATGGAGCAGCTCAAGAAAGAAAAACACATCCGTTTTTAAGACAAAGTACTATTTGTCTAAACCCTACTAATAAAATAATTTCATACCTTATATTTAGGTTCTAACAGGCAGTTTTCTGTTTCTCCTCTCTTCTTCCTTACAACCTAATCGTGGATTCTAATTTTCTTTTCTTTGTTACTACAACCCGTAACCCAACTTGGATTTTTCTGCAATGCTGATAGTCAGCCCATGGTTATTGGGAACGTGCTACGTGCCAGCCCCAGGGCTATATATACGGAGGGGCTAACATAGCCCCTTCCTTCAAATTTGTGTAGGCAGAGAAGTCAGGGATATGAACGGTAGTAGTAATGATAGGGAACATTTTTAAATGGTAAATTTACATTATACACTATCCAAAGCACGTTGTATGGATTATCTAATCATCTCTGTGAGAGGCAGTGCAAGATGTTAGGGTGAGACCGACATCGTTTATATGAAGGACCTTTCTGTCATCTAAGCAATTCAACTCTGGCCCAACTTGCAAACCTCCTGGTAGCAAAGTGAGAGTGGATTACCGAACTCATTACTCTCAGAAGGCAGCTTAGAGGTAATCTGCTGTAACTGGACATGCCCCTTGAGCATTTCACCTCCATCCTCACCCACCCCACACACATGCCCCATAATGTTTCCCTGGAATGAGATTTGGGTAAACATAGGCTTTTTTCCCCTTTGGTAAATTAGTACCCTTATAAATGAGTGCCCATGATAACTGCCCATCTGCCACCTTCAGTTTTGAGGTAGATGCTGTTTATGATCCCTGTTTTACTAATGAAACTGAGGGTCAGGCAAATTGAGTAGTGTGCTATATTAATTTTTTATTTCTGTGTAACAAATTACTGCACCTTACTCACTGCCCTGCAGTTTAAGACAGTGCACGTTTATTATCTCTCCGTTTCTACGGGTCATGGACTCCAGCGCAGCTCAGTTGGGTCCTCTGCTCAGGGTCTTCAAAGGTGGCCGTCAGGATGTCCACTGGAGCTCCGGGTTCTCTTCCAGGCTCACACGGTTTCTGGCAGAATTTAGTTTCTTACCTCTGTATGATAGATTCTTGTTTTCTTGCTAGCTGTTGGCTGGTAGCTGCCTTCTGCTCCAGAGGCCATTGCCACCTGACCCTTCTCCAGTGGCCCTCCCACAACATGACAGCTTATTTCTTCAAGGCCAGTGGGAGAATCTCTGACCTTGGGGAGGGCACCTGAACCTCTTTAAAAGAGTTTATCTGATTAGGTCTTGCCCACACAAGACAATCTTTATATTTATATTTATTATTATTATTATTATTATTATTATTATTCACAGACATCTGATTAAGGAGCCTTAGTTACATCTCGGAAGTCCCTTTTGCTGTATAATGTAACATGATCACATGACTGATATCTCACCATATTCTCGAGTCCACCCACAGACAGGGGGAGGAGATAATACAGGGTGGGCTCACAGAGAGGGTGGGAACCTACCAACATGCACAGTCACCCATCAGCCAATTGGCAAAGCAGTGTTCTCTTTGAGTAAAGCATGCATCAAAATCATTCAGTTCTGCCTCTTAAAAGCATAAGGTCTCTATCAAAAAATATTGTAGAAATATTCTGAATACCTGACATTTATGAATAATTTAAATCAATAACATTAAAATCAGTGTCAACTGTCATTACATAAAAATGCATGTATGTAAATAATGTTAAGGAACAAAAATCAGAATCTAAAATAATATATGCATGCTATCTCTTGTTATATTAATAATACATGTCTCAGAAAATATATGAGAATATAAAATAGTTTATTTAAGTTTCTGGACCAAGAAAAAAGAAGTCATTTTTAATATAATAATTCTGTAAAAAGATAGTTTACCATACAAAGTAACAGATGATTAATGTTAAATATTTATGTTGACAGGAAGTGCTACCAAAGTTCATAGTAGGAAAGATTAATTAGACTAGAGCTTCCTTTTAGGGGCAAAGTTGGGTTAATTATTTTATGAGGTAGTTTGTCAGAAATTTTGCCCGAGGACTTGCTCCTTTTCTGTCCTTGTAACCTGCCAGTGGCATCTGCTCAGTGGGCAGTTTGCGCGTCTTCTCTGAAGACAGCCAGGTCCTCTCCCCAGGTGCAGCTCGTTCTCATCCAAATAGAACTCCCTCAGCGTTGCTTTAGAAACACATAATCTGAACAATCATTGTAAGAGCATTGTATATCTCTGTGAGTTGGCAGTTTATCAGTCAGCTCATCAGTTGCAACTATTGCTAACAAATTAGGGGATTCCCCCTCCCTTTCGCTAGGGATCTCAATTATTCTATGTCTGTAGAATAGATGAACATTGCAACTGTTTATGAATTAGTTACTTAAAAAGCAGTTGTGGTAGACTGAATAATGCCCCACCCAAAATATGTCCATGTCCTAATTCCTCAAACCTATGAATATCATTTTATATGGTATAAAGTACTTTGTGTGAAAAGAGACTCTACAGATGTGATTAAGTTTAAGATCTTGAGACAAGGAAATTACCCACGATTACCTCAGTGAGCCCAATCTAATCAAAACAGTTCTTAGAGATGGACAGAGAAGCCAGGTATCTCACGATATGGACCGGTGGTTCTCAAAGGGCGGCATCCGCATCACCACGCAACTCATTGCAAATGCAGATTCCTCAGCTCTGCTCTAGGCTTCTTGAATTGGGGGCTCAGGGGATGAAGCCCACAATTCACATTTAACAAGCCACCCCGGTGATTCTGATACATGGTAGTTTCAGAATTGCTGACCTACACTAAGTTTTGCTCTCCCTGGTAGAACAAGCTTGAGGCTAACGAACTAGGAAAGCTCACTGTTGGTCTGTCCAAGGTCATTTGCAACTGTTTCCTTTCTGCCTGAGTTTTATCAGACTATAATCACTTGAACAGCTTAATTGAAAAATCACTTATGTTTATAGCTGTAATGAAATGTTTTGTATTTAAATAACCACTTTTGATTAGAATCATATTTTGTTGAAAGTGTTAGTTTTATCTGTGTGATGTAAAAATATTTATAAAAACATCAAATTTCTAGTAGTAACATCCTATTCAGTGTTAGGTGAAAGGTTTTATATCAAAGCTCATGCTGTGTAATGGCTAATCACAGGATATTTCAAATAGTATTTAAGGTGGCTAAATGGATTTTTTGGCTCAGTATTTAAAATTAAGCATTTTAAAATACTAACATTTAATACTTTTGCCTCTTCTCAAAGTTGATTTTATGTGAACCTCATTATTTGCAACTCCCGAAATCTTGCTTAAGCGGCCAGTAGCAACACTTCCTTCTTCCTCCTCCTTAAGGATTTACTCAAATCTCGGTTATTCGAAAATGGGTTAGGTTTGTGGTACATGTCACTTTGGTTGTGCATATACTAACATTTCTTATTTAAGAAGACAAAACAGCTTTGTTTTGGTGAAAATATATTATTGATTTCTGAAAAGCCAAAACAAAGGACTCATTTCATTGGGCTCCTGTTTGACAAGTGATCTTGTGGTTCCTTTCAGGTATTGAATAGGAAAAGCACTGTACAGTCTTCATCTGTGGAACTGGATGGCTCCTACCTGAGTGTAGCCAACCCACAGACCTACCATCAAACCAAGCAAAGGCCTAAGCCTGCAGATCAGGACTCAGCTCTAGAATCCCTTGTGGAGTTCAGGAACAATTCTCTGAAACCAGCAGCCCTTCATTGTCCCGAAGAGGATCTAGACAGGGTGCCATCGGAGACCAGAACATGTGATTACGGATCCCCAGGGAAAAAACTAGCAGGTGCAGTCCCTACAGAGAAAGTTCCAGCAGAGGAATTGAAGGAATGTCAGCATCTTAGGCCTACTCCGTCTAGACTGTGTTGTGGGCATAGGCTTTCTGAGAATGCACATCACGTTCATGTTAGCCATCCTACAGTCATGGCCCCTCAATATTCCAAGACACAGCCAGAATCATGCCATTACTGTGGACTTGCCTGGGCAACTCTGATGCATAGCCAAGGGCTACTGCAACCCAGTGAAACTGATTTCAAAAAGCAACTCTCAGAAGACAGAAGGCAGCAACTTATGCTTCAAAAAATGGAGCTGGAAGTTGAAAAGGAGCGCCTTCAGCACCTGCTGGCCCAGCAAGAGACAAAGCTTCTCCTAAAACAGCAGCAGCTTCATCAGTCCCGACTAGACTACAATTGGTGAGTGCTACCTATCTCTGGGCAGTGCCTGTAACTGGGAGAACACAGGATGCAGTGACTGCTGCGGTACTGTAACGAAGGTGCAGGAGAAGAGGTTCCTCGGGATTTTGGCTTTCCCAGGATGCATACAAACGGTGACTACTAAGTAAATTCCACTGTTGTCTTTGGAAGACTTAGCCTGAAATGTCTACTTCTGAGCAGTCCGGTGTAGTTTTTGCTGGTTTCCAGAGATAATATTTTAAAATGATATTACCATTACACAGAATCCTTTGCTGTTTGATGTCATTGTGGAGAACAGTGGGCATTATGTAAAAGCTTAAGACATCAAGGTGTAGAATCTAGTTGTAAAGAAGTTTGATTAGTTGTCATCATTCCATATTTATATCTGTTCACTATAGTATAAAATATAACATGATGGGAGCCTTCTAAATTCAACCAAATTCAACCTTTTCCTGTTCAATAACCAATTGTTATAAACTTATTCACATTTAAACTGTCCTTCCCTCAATAATTCTTCCTGAAGAACAGTGCTTCAAAAACGATACTGCTATTTTAATGTTGTATAGGTCAGCGTAGTTTTACAGAGTCACAAAACTTACTATCTTAATTTATTCAAGGAAAATTAGCAGTAAATCAGATACAATCATATTTAAAACAATGAAGTGTCATGTCTTTTTAAAAAGTAAATTTCAAGACCAGAAATAGGAAATGGAAGATTTCAGAAGTAAACAGTTCGTAAATTGTGCACGGTTGAGGGTGATGAAATCTCTTGCCATCTCACTCCATCCCACTCAAGGCATAATCACCCCTTTGTCCAGTGCACCTTCGCTGGACACGTGCCTCACCTGTTAGTCGGCAGCCACCTCGGTTATCGGATCAGCTGACGTGGCATCACAGTGCTGTGTTCAAGTCACCCTTATTTTACTTAGTGTTGGCCCCAAAGCACAAGCAGGTGATGCTGGCAGTTCAAACATGCCAAAGAGAAGCCAAAAGTGCTTCCTTTAAGTGAAAAGGTGTGTATGTATAGGGAAAAATGTATACAGCATAGGGTTCAGTATTATCTGCAGTTTTAGGCCTCCATTAGGGTCATTCTCCAGACATGGGAACTGTCTGGAAAGCATTCCCCATGGATCGGGGAAAGGGGGCTACTGTACTTACTGTCTTGGAACCAAAAGTCATCTTCCTCTTTCTCTTCCTACGATCAGACAGTTCTATCCTTCGTTGTTGAAACCTGGAGGCTTTTCAAATAAGTGAAAATTAAGCCACTTATAACAAGGTTGTCACCAAAGACTAAGATGTTGCTTTAATTTTATGACCCTAAATGTTCATCCTCAAGTTAATGTATAGTCTCTCCTGAGAACTCAAGAACATTTATCCAGTGCCTGTGACTTGTGAGGAGTGGTTTTAGGTCTTTGGGATAGAAAAATGGATCCAATGTGGTGAAGAGGGCACAGCCTAGCAGGGGAGATTGGGTAGGTTTAGAAAATGCGTCATGTTCACTTGAATAGCTTGTATATTCAAATAATGTTGGATAATGATAATACAGTCTTTAGTGTTTTCTTGATTATACTCACATAGGTGAGAGAGCTCAGAAATACAGCTTTTGAGCAAGTTTTATGTGTGTATAAATTGCAAAAATAGAATATTTATAGAGATTTTTATAAACTTTATTTTGAAATAATTATAGATTGAAAGGAAGTTGTAAAAATAGTGCAACGGGGTTCCATGTGCCCTGCACTCACTTTCCCCCAGGAACTAAAATACACTATCAAAAGTGGCAATTCAGCATTAGTGCAATGTGTGTGTAGTTCCGTGTCATTTACCACAGATGCAGATTTGAAGAGGTGTGTAACCACCACCACAATCAAATAAAGAACGAAGATTTCCTTTGCACTTACCTTATTAGAGTTTCCCCACCCTCCCCTGCCCCCACCATCCCTAACTTCTATAAACCACTAATCTCTGGTCTGTTTCTAAAATTTTATCTTTTGAGGATGGTATAAAATGCAACTCTATAGTCTATGAACTTTCGATACTGTTTTTTTCTACTAATTGTAATGCATGGAGACCTATCTAGGTTATTGCATATATTGTACCTTTTGATGCTGTTCAGTAGTATTCCATGATATGGTTATACCATAACTTGTTTAACCATTCATCTATTGAAGAACACCTTAGTTTCCAGGTTTGTCTGTTACAAATAGAACTGCTATGTACATTTTTACACAAGTTTTTGTGTGAACTAAGGTTTTTATTTCTACACATGAAAGATTATGATTGTTAGATCATATAGTAACTGCATTTAGTTTTCTGAAATTTAGCTTATATTACACTTAGTTTAAAATACTTTCTTCAGGAAGTGCAGGAGAGAACATTTCTCCCCACGTTTGTTGGCATTTAGTATTGCCACAAATTTTTATTTTACTCTTCCAATATGTACATCGTGATATCTCATTGTGGTCTTAATTTGCATTTTCCTAATGTTTATTGGTGCTGAACATCTTTTCATTTGCTTATTTGCTCTGTTTCCATCCTCTTGGATAAATTGCCTCTTTAATAGCATTTTCCCATATTCTAACTGAATTGTTTGAGGTTTTTTTACTGTTGGTTTTGAGAGTTCTTTATACATTCTAGATACAAGTCCTTTAGCAGGTATGTGGCTGCAGGTATTTTCCAGCAGTCTTCATTTTTTATTTTCAATCTCTTAACATGATTTTTCACACAGTAAAGTTTTTTTTCTTGTAGTTTATGTAGTTTTATCATAAATGTTTGTTGGAATTGTCAAATCCCTTTTATGCATCAATTGATGTGATCATCTTGTTTTTCTTATTTAGCCTGCTGATATAATAAACTATATTAATTGATATTTTAAAGTTGACCCTAGCCTTATATGCCTAAAATAAACCCTGTTTGGTCATAGTGTACAGTACTTCATATGTATTATTAAATTTTATTTATGTTTTTATTAAGGATATTTGCATTAATATTGGTAAGAAATATAGGTCTGGGTTTTCTTGTACTGTGTTTGGTTTCAGTATCGAGGTAATACTAGTCTTATTTATTTCATTCATTTCTTTATAATGTTTTTTCTTCCACTTGCTTTGGACTTATCTTGCTCTTCTTTTTTCTAATTTCTTAAGATGAGAGCTTAGATTATTGATTTGAGACTTTCTTGTTTTCTAATGGAAGTTTTTTGTGGTATAAATTTCCTTCCCAGAACTATTTTGACTATATCTCACTAATTTTGGTATTTTGGGATGTTCGGTTAGCAAAATGCCCTCTAGGTATAGTATTTGCTTCTTCCTCATGGCTGAATTACAGTCACATGTATCGAATCTTTATCCATTCATCTGCTGACAGACATTTAGGTTGATTCTGTACCTTGACTGTCGTGAATAATACTGCATTGAATCTGGGAGTGCAGGCATCTTTTCAAGATTCTAATTTTGTCTTCTTCAGATGAATACCCAGAAGTGGAATTATTGGATCATATGGTAGTTATATTTTTAATTTTTTGAGACACCACCATACTGTTCTTGCAATGGCTGTACCAATTTACATTCCCATCAATAAGGTACAGGGATCCACTTCTCTCCATATTCTTTCCCCACTTGTTATCTGTTGTTCCTGTGATCAAAGCCATTCTAACAGGTGGGAGGTGACATCTCATGGTGGTTTTGATTTTCACTTCCCTGGTAATGTTGCATCTTTTCATGTACCAGTTGACCATTTCTGTGTCTTTTTTGGGGGAAAAAAAAACTATCTTTTCAGATCCTCTGCCCATTTTTCAATCAGGTTTTTGTTTTTTGTTTTGTTTTGATTTGGTTTTTTGCTATTGAGTTGTATAAGCTCCTTATATATTTTGGATATTAATCCCTTATCAAATATATGGTTTGCAAATATTTTCTCCCATTCCATAGGTTACTTCATTTTAATAATTGTTTTCTATGCTGTGCAGAAGCTTTTCAGATCAATTTAGCACTATTTGTTTTTTTTGCCCAAGTTTTTGGTGTTGTATCCAAAAGGTATTGCCAAGACCAATGTCAAGTAGCTGCTTCCTCATCTATTTTCCTATAGCAGTTTTACTTTACAGGTCTTACATTTAAGTCTTTAATCAATTTTTAGTTAATATTTATAAGCGGTATAAGATACTTTCATTCTTTTCTTATGAAGATCCAGTTTTCCCAACACCATTTATTGAAGAGACTGTTCTTTCTCCATTACATGTTCTTGGTACCCGGGTCAAAGATTTTTACCATATATGCATGGGTTTATCTCTGGGCTTTCTGTTCTATTCCATTGGTTTTTGTATTTGTTTTTATGCCATTACCATTTTTGCTTACTCCAACTTTGTAATACAGTTTGAAGTTAGGAAGCATCATACCTCCAGCTCTGTTCTTCTCTCTCAGGACTACTTTGTTTATTTGGGGTCTTGTATGGTTCTAGACAAATTTTAAGCTTAATTTTCTAATTATGTGAAAAATGCCAATAAAATATTGATAAGGATTGCATTGAATTTGTAGATTTCTTTTGTTAATATGGACATTTTAACAATATTATTTCTTCCAATTTATAAACATAAGATATTTTCTTTGTATTTGTGTCTTCCTCAATTTCTTTCTTTCAACTGTTTCTTGGAGTTTTTAATATGAACATCTTACATTTCCTTGATTAAATTTCTTCTTAAGTATTTTATTATTTTTATGTAATTGTAAATGTGATTGTGTTATTATTTCTTTTTCAGACAATTCAATGTTTTATGTAGAAATGCAGCTGATTTGTGTAATTTTAGTGAATTCATTTATTAATTCTAACAGCTTTTTGATGAAGACTTCAGGATTTCTATATATAAGATTGTGTCATCTGCAAACAGACAGTTTTGCTTTTTGCATTCCAACGTGGATACCTTTATTTCTTATTCTTGCATAATTGCTTTGGCTAGTACTTTTAGTATTATGTTGAATAGAAGTAGCAGAGAAGGGGCATTCTTGTCTTGCTCCCGATCTTAAAGGAAAAGCTTTCAATCTTTTACCATTTACTATGATGTGAGCAGTGGGCTTATCGTATGTGGATCAGTTATAATCGAGTTATGTTCCTTCTATACTCAATATCTTGAGTTTTTCATGAAAGAATGTTGAATTTTGCCAAATGCTTATTCTGCATCTACTGAAATAATCATACAATATTTATCTTGCATTCTATAGTTTGGAGTATTTTATTGAGAATTTTTGCATCTATAATCATTGTGAATATTGGCCAGTATTTTTCTTTTCTTGTATTTTCCTTATCTGGCTTTGGTATCGGAGTAATGCTGGTTTCATAAAATAGGTTTGGGAGTTTCTTTCTCTTCAATTTGCTGGAAGAATTTTAAAAGGATTGACATTATTTCTTTAAACATTTGGTAGAAGTCAGTCACCAGGGAAAACATCTATGTAGTCTTGGACTTTTTTTTCTTGGGAGTTTTTTGGTTACTGATTTAATCTCAAATAAGTCATTATTTGTGTTTTCACATTTTATATTTCATCATGATTCAGTTTTGATAGGTTGTATGTTTCTAGGATCTTACCATATCTTCTAGGTTATCCAATTATTTGAAGTGTAACTGTTCATAACAGTTTCTCATGATCCTTTGCATTTCTGTGGTTGTAGTGTCTCCTCTTTCACTTACAATTTTGAGTCTTCTCTCTTTTTTCTTAGTCTTGCTAAAGGTTTGTCAATTTTGTCTATCTTTTTTTAAATCTTAGTTTATTTGATCTTTTTCATTGTTTTTCTGGCCTCTAATTTATTTCTGCTCTGATTATTGTTATTTTTCTCTTTCTAATAATATTGACTGTAGTTTCCTCTAGTTTTTTATACTATAAAATTAGGTTGTTTTTTTTGTTTGTGTTTGAGATCCTTTTCTCTTAATGTAGGCATTTATTTCTTTAAACTTACCTCTTAGAACAGCTTTTGCTACATCCCAGAAGTTTTAGTATGTTGTGTTTCCATTTTCATTTGTTTCAAGTTATTTTTTGACTTATTCTTTTACTCATTTATTGTTTGGGGGTGTATTTTTTAATTCCTACTTATTTATGAGTTTTCCAGTTTTCATTCTGTTACTGATTTCTAGTTTCTTACCATTGTGGTTGGAAAAAATACTTGGTATGATTTCAGTCTCCTTAAATTTGTAAGAATTGCTCTGTGACCTAACATGAACTCTGGAAAATATTCTGTTTACACCTGAGAAGAATATGTATTCTGTTTGCTGTTGGATTGAATGCCTGCATGTCTGTTAGGTCTGTTTTATTAAACTCTTAGTTTTTATAGGGTAGTTAATCTACATGATTCTCTTTGTATATCACTGTGCATATTTAGTGTCAGTTGTAAACATCTTTTGACAGTGATGGAAATGACATTATTTTAACAACATTTTTACCTTTTGTGGTTTTATTTCATAATTTAGGAATGTAGTTTTATGGATTTCATTTTTAAAAATGAACCAGAGAACATCTCTAGGTAACTAAGAGAATGGGTGGTAAGGGTCACATGTTTGGTGCCAGTGAATAATTGGCACTCCAACTCTTGGTTAGAACGGTGTCATGCCAAGTTCTTCATCTGCTTCCCCTCCTCCATACAGCGAGAGTGGAGCTAACTTAACATTGATGGATAAAATTTCTTCCTGGAGGAATTTTTCTGTGACCCAGATAAAGTGGTTCGTTAGTGAGATGCAGCCTCAGCTTTTTAAATTGTCGGTATGAGAAGGGCCACCTCTAGGTGTGTTGGACAGGGTCGGTTTTACTCAGTGTTACTAGAACTCCATCTGGACTCTGGTGGCCAAAACACACTTGTTAGTAGTGGATGTGAAGAAGCTTTAAATTTCTAAAGAAGAGAGTTAAAGTGCTCCTAAAACATCTATAATGTTGACTTCTTAAATGATATTCTGACCAACTCAGACTTCCCCCACTCCTCTATAAGTAAAGAAAATTAAAATTCTTGTGGAACTGCTTTGTGTTTATGTGTATTAGGGAGAACTCATTTGTTTTTGGTAGATGGGGTTTTAATTTGAAAATAATCGCTGGGTAATGTGGCTAGAAGATGGTCCTTGAAAGAAATGGCATTCAAGGAATGCCATTCAGTTTCTTAGGTTCTGTAGGATTAGACATTCTCTAAATTTCTTTTTACAGGTTGAGAACTCAAGCTGCATTTAAGTCGAAACAATTGGTTGCTGATAAAGAACTTGCTAAGCCCCAAGAGCTCAACCTGGTTACGAATGGGAGTAACTCTAAACCAAGGTAAACTTGAGTGGTGGGTCAAGGCAAGATTATATAGAATACAGATACTAAGGATATGTTTGGTATATAGTTATAGCTCCTTATTGGTGAATCCAGTTTTTTGATCATATGAATAAATAATTCTCATTGTAAAATTTAGAAATATAGAAAAGTGTAAAGAGAAAAATAAAATTATTCATATGCCTATCATTCAGAGAAAATTTTGAGACCTTTTTAATCTTTTTTTTATACTCAATAAGTATCTATTGAGTAACAGGGATTATGCTTACGAAGAATTTTATTTTTTGCTTTATTCACTATCACTTTTTTCTGATGTCAATAAATTTTTATGAAAATATAGTAATTAATTCACTCAACAATTGTTTATTATGTGACATCTATTATTCAGTATTTATCCAAAAGCCTGACATTGGATAATACAGGGTTTTGCCCTTATAAATTAATTATGCCTTGAAGACCTCTTCTGTAAATTATTTTATTTCTACCTATTTTCTTGGTATAAATGACTCTAAGTAGACTGCTGTCTCAAATATATGAATCCTTTAAGATTCTCGATGCATATGAATAACTTGCTTTCCATAGAAGTTAAATCTATTTATACTCCAAAGCTATCCTTAATAATCCTTTTTTCCCCCCTGAAATTTGAAGAATTTGGGGCTAGTACTTTTTCATCATTAGATATTTCATTATTAGATATTCAGATTGTTTCAAGTTCTTTATCACTACACACAATGCTCTAACAAGCATGGCTACCTATCCTCATGTTCTGGTACTTCTACTGTTTTATTAGGGTGAATTCTCCAAAATGAAATTGCTATTTTTACATAAGTATATTTCAGTATACTTTATAATTATAAACTACAATAGTCTGTGCTAATTTTGTCCCAGAAAGTTGTAGCAATTCATTCTCCCACTTGCAGTTCGTGAAAGTTTTCATTATTGCTGTTCAGGTAAGTGTAGTGAATGCTTTGGAAGCTAGTGCTTCAGTCTAAAAGATGGATGTGCTTTAAAAGTTCAAGTACATACATCTGGGCATGCATGTCCTACATTCAAATAATTATGAGAACCATGAGATGAAACTATGAACCACTTTCAAAAAATCTTATGTAATATTCCTTTGACAAAGGCCTTTTAAAATGTTAATCTACATTGTAAGAATTTGAAGAAGTTTGACAGTATTTGCCAGAACTCCCTAAATAAAAATTAATTTTAAGCTGAATTTTGTTTATTTGGAAATCTAAACTGTCTTAATATTAAAAATACTCTGTGTATTTAAAGTATTAAACTTACTCAAGTGAGGCATTAAGAATTTGGAACTAAAATAAATGAGATAATGAGGAAGTAAAAAGCATATTTTTTATAATTAACAGCTCATTTTAAGTTAATTATATACAATTACCAAAATGTAATTGCAATTTATTTTCTATTATCTGTGGGAAGAATCACAGGCAAGGGAGCATACATTGCTGCCTTCCTGCATAGAAGCTATGGAACGCGAATGAACAATGTGTGGGGCCTTAATGATAAACAACAGCAAACATTAGGGCACAGCTGAGCCAGACCATTGGAAGACAATTATCACATGAGAGATGGTAATGACTGAGAAAGTCACAAGCAACTTTGATTCTCTGGTTGGTTTTTTAGTTAGTTAAATTGTTGTTTGTTTGTTGGCTATGCAAAAATGACCCTTAAAAAGAGAAAAGGAAAAAAAAAAACTGGCTTGTAAGTACTACAGGCGATGTAGAAAGCCCCTATCCTCGAGAATTCTGATAGAAGACTATGGCAAATGTACAAATATTTATTATCTATATACAATATAAGGGCTATCAAAGAAATGCAAATAAACTAAGAAAATGTTTGTGAAAGAGGTAATATTTGAGATCAGCCCTAAAATTTTGGTGTGTTAGGAGTGTCTGTGTGCATGTATGTATGTGTCAGGTGGGAGAAGACCTGGAAGGAGTTGAAGTAAAGGAAGGAAATCACACAGTGTATGTGGGGCACAGCAGTGAGCATGCTTTAGTTTGATCAGAAGAGTAAGAGAATATGAAACTAAAGATTAAACTTGTAAATTAGGGTAGATTATAAAAAGGGTTTAAATATCAGGCCAAAGACTTTGGACCTTTGTGATTGGAAGGATAAAAAAGTCAAGGAAAAGGTGATTTTGTGGTGCAGATGATTGATTTGATTTTTATTATTGGATCAATAAGGATCAAAGGGGCCAGGTTTTAGTTCTTCCAGTAATGAGCCAATGTGTCATTAAAGATAATGCTATGTGCCTCAGTCTCCTTGCCTGTAAATGAGAAAGTGAAAATGCATTTTCACTAAGAATTTCTTCCATCTCTTAACAGTTTGTGATTGTTAAACAGGATGGATTTCCAGACAAAGCTATCTAGTATATAAGTAGAATTTTGGATCTAAAGGTCCTAAGAGAAATCAAAGTTAGAAATTTAGATTTCTGCATTGGAAGTCATCTGCATTGGTGCTGCACCTGTGAGAGTGGATATTAATTTCTGAGAAGTAGTTTAGAGAAATATAAACAAAACATTAGAAAATGCCTACCTATGGGAATCTGAAAGAATAAGAGTGGCAGTGTGAAAAGTTGGCAAAGAAGCAGGCTGGTGCAATGTCATGGAAACAAAGGAGGAAAACGGAACGACACCTTGGAAAGAAATGTGGTTGATGGAGCATAATTTTAAAGATAGGCATGCCCTATATATTTTTATAATCTTGGAGAAGTGACTAGTGAAGGAAGAGATTGCCAAAAGTGAGTAATTGATGGAGCACAGTCCTAGAAAAGAATCACTTGTCAAAGTCTCAGTTATTTGTGATGTCTTCTCTTTCCTTGTACCTGGGCCCATCCCTCCTTTGTTCTGTCTACACATTCTCCTTGTGTGACGGTATCTAGGCCCTTGCCTTTAAATATCATCCATATTCTGATGACTTTCCAATTTTTCCCTGTAGACCTGACCTTTCCTCCAGTCATTAAATGCATGGATCCTGTCATGTATACAAGAGAATGGGAATTAGGTGGTCTCACAGACATCTCACAGATTACAAAGCCTAAACAAATCTTGTTTCCTCTTTCCACCATTCACTCCATCCCAGTCTTCATCTCAGTAGTAGCCACTCAAGTCAAAACAGTATCCTGGACTTCTTCCTTTCCTTTCTTCCACCAAACAGTCTTATAACCACTTTCCTTTTGTTTCTATTCTGTCGCCAAAGTGAATGCACTCCTCCCACCATCATCTAAGCCTGGACTTCAGCAAAGGTTTCCGAAGTGGTCTACTTCCTTTATTTATGTCCTTAACCCCCTAAAATTAATTTCCCACAACTGGAAAGATCATTCAAAAACAGCAGCCTACTTACTTCCTTGCCTAAAACTCTTCCAAGACTCCTCACTGCCTGTAGAATAAAACCTGAACTTCTTGACTGTCAGAGAGCATTGCACATGAAATCTGGCTTCTTCTTACCTCACACCACTTTCCTTCTAAACATTTAGTGGCCCCTACTCCCATTTTACTTAAAATTTAAATTTTTACCATGGTCTTATGTTGTCTTCTCTTGACTTTGCACTTTTTTCCTTGCTTCCTATGTTCCAACTTCATTGGCCTTGGTTGTATTTCATTTTCTAGTATATGCTGCATCCTACCTGTAGCTGCCTTTAACAGCTTTAATCCTGTCCTTCCTAGTGTTAATTTCTATAGATGAGAGATTATCATCTGCCAAGAAGATGCTTATCACCCTAAAGCATGTGTCTCCATTGCTCCCTGTTTCAGTACTCAAGCCCCACACACCACTGCCCAGCTGTAAGCTTCACGAGTGCAAGGATCATAACTGTCTTGTCACATATGATATATTATAACATCTATGTGTGATGAAGAATATATAGTAGGTTCTCATAAGATATTTGTGGAACGGATTTTTTAAAATCTCAAGTCCTCTCAGTAAAGTATGAAGGGAGATCACTGACTGAGAAGGGTGGCAATAACATGTAGGAAGAGGATGCGGGTGCTCAGAATAGCCTCAGGGAAAGGTATAATAAGTTATCAGAAGATGATCAATAAGAAGTACTGCATTCATAGTATAGAAATTCCCTCGAACTGATAAACTGGCAACTCTTGGAAAAGTAACCCAAACAGCCAATATGTATATAAAATCTTCTTAAACTAACCTTGGAAAAGTAAAAATTAAGAACAACAAAAAGATAAGTTTTGCCCTGGCTGGTGTAGCCCAGTGGATCGAGCATGGGCCTGTGAAGCAAAGAGTCACCAGTTCAATTCCCAGTCAGGGCACACGCCTGGGTTGCAGGCCAGGTCCCCAGTAGGGGACACGTGAAAGGCAACCACACATTGATGTTTCTCTCCTACTCTTTCTTCTTCCCTTCCCCTCTAAATAAATAAAATATTTTTTAAAAAGAAAAAGAAAAGAGTATTTAAAACAAAACAAAAAAGATAACATTCTTAAATCAGTTGACAGAATTGGAAAGCTTAGTAAGATCACAGGTTAACAAACGTGGGGAAAAACAGGCACTTTGCTATGCTGCGGATGGGAATGCAAGTTGCTAAAGCTACTTTTGTGGTCAACTGTAGAGTATCATTGTACAGTTATTTTTAATTATCATTGATAATTGGCACAACAACTCCCCTTCCAGTTATCTCTCTTCCTTCCTTCTAACTTCTCTCTTATTTCCTTTCTCTATGTAACTCATAGATAACCTTTGGCCTAAAGAACTACTCTTGCAAAAAGAGTATTTTTCCAATTTCTCTTTCAAAATTATTTTTTAATTGTTTAAATTTCTTTAAAGATTTTATTTATTTATTTTTAGACAGAGGGAAAGAGTGGAAGAAAGAGAGGGTGAGAAACATCCACATGTGGTTGCCTCCCGTGTGCCCCCAACCAGGGACCTGGCCCACACACCCAGCGTGTGCCCTGACTGGGAATCGAACCAGTGACCCTTTGGTTTGCAGGCTAGCACTCAATCCACTGAGCCACACCAGCCA